ACTCTTCAGCTCATATCCTTAACATTTGTTTACTAGAATCTAGACTCTTCAGCACATATTCTTAACATTTAACTAACTGAAAGCTGGACTCTTCAACACATCTCCCTACCATTTGTTTACTAGAAGCTACTCTTCAGCACATGTCATTAGCATTTCTTTACTAGTAGTTACTCTTCAGCACATATCCCAAACATTTATTTACTGGAAGCTAGACTCTTCAGCACACATCACTAACATCTGTTTACTGGAAGCTAGATTCTTCAGCACATATCACTAACATATGTTTACTGGAAGCTAGACTCTTCAGCACATATCACTAATATCTGTTTACTGGAAGCTAGACTCTTCAGCACATATCACTAATATCTGTTTACTGGAAGCTAGACTCTTCAGCACATATCCTAACATTTGTTTACTAAAAGCTAGATTCTACAGCTTGTATCAATGTGCTTTATCTTTTCGGAAACTTGTTTATGCTGCACTTATCACTATTATACATCGTTATCCGAGAATCCGTCTCAGTGAAGAAAGTCATTTTGTTATCTATTAGTTTCTGCTGCATTATACTTTTAGTGGTTTTATATATACAAAGTAATATTCAACTATAATATTAATCTCATTTATTTTAAAAACAATATCAAATGTATATCCAAAAATATATACACGCAATGAATTACTGATCGTAAAATTATATTAAGCCTATTCGTATTCAGAATCAGCACCTGGTTTATTCTTCAAGGAATTTCATTTCACTAAAAAGCGTGAAAAAGTTATGTTGAATCAATATTACAATATTTATGTTATGAGATTCAAGTTAACTACCATGACTTCGTGGCATTTGTGTCTCATTTGCCCTTACATTTATCTGAATTTATTAGCCTAGTAATTTCAAAACTGTGAAAAAATGTAGTAATGACTTAAAAGATAAAAATAATTTCCCTTGTGAATACAATAATGCAATGTTATTGAAAGTTCAAGCAATCTAGAAAGATGTATTTCACTTCGTCTAAAATAGATTGGTAGTTTGTTGAATTTTTAATAATTTCCAAATTTCTGTTGTTTGATTATAATTATTTATCAGTTGAATATGCTGAAAAGAACCGAGAACAGAGTTTTCCAAGAATTAACACCCCTTTAACTTAAATGGTACATTCGTTACCATGGTAAATGTATGCTATCACAATATATTCTTCACTGTTATTGGTTCCTATCCACCAATCAAAACTAAATAAATAAGCACGCCCATGTTATCTCGTACGGCAACATCTATACTTGCCGATAAACAACTGGGAAGGTGTAATAGTCCAAACTGTCTTCTTAGACAGGTGATTTTTGTCTCGAAACTTATCGCTACAAGTTTTTCTTGAGACGCACAAGGTGAAGGTTAGGATTCTTTCGGGTAAGTCGTCTTTCATGTCATTATCCTTAGCACGTGAATCAGTGATGTTAGGCACGTGATCAGTGTATATGTTCAGTACCTCTGTTGGCAGCGATCAATACAAGCTCAGACAAATATTACGCTTTCTTGAAGTTTTGAATTCTTGTTATTGTAAAATTTTGTAAAATATTTAAAGAAATACTGACGTTTCATGCGAATTAAGATTGGCATGAAACACGAAAAGAACGTTTAAATTGTTTTCATCTTCCTCGTACAAGTTGTATTATTTATTTGCAACAAAGTTAGTACTGAAAATTGTAATTTTCTGCAGTAAAATTGTACAGTCATAATAAATATAACAAATCCACAGAAAGAAAAATAATTAAAAAAACTGGAATATGAAGCTTGTGAAGAAAATGGAATGATAAGTTAAATAGCATTTTAAATTACAAACCGGTATGTGCCGTGTGTGATATAAATGTAACAGTGGCAAGCAACAAATAGCATTAGCAGAAATGAGAGGTATTTATGTAAATATTTTAGGGCTATATATATATATATATGTTTACACATACATATATTTATAATATAGGCCTCTATTAATAACGAAATTATGTGGGGAGTCCATACCAGATAAGCTTCCCCCTCTGAAGTATTGAGTGGAATTTGCCATCAGTCCTGTATTGTTCCTGCTATGTCTATATATTTGAGATACGTATTGTGTAGATACTTACATATTTATATTATCAGGAAAGTATATTTATTAACTGGAAGTAATTCACTAGGAGCAAATATTAGTCAGACAATGCTTCAGAAACACTTTGATGTTTTAGGTTTGTTTGTTTGTTCGAAGTTAAGCACAAAGCTACACAATGGGCTATCTGTGCTCTGCCCACCACGGGTATCGAAACCCGGTTTCTAGCGTTGTAAGTCCGCAGACATACCGCTGCGCCACTGGGGGGCGATGTTTTAGGAGTAATTATATAAATTTTAAGGATACAGATTTTTTATTTTTCTGCTAAAAACACAGTATAGTTGTATTGGATAAACATAAGTCTCGCATTAATCCTAGAAATAAACGACCTTATAACACCAAAATGTTGTTTTTATTTAACTGGCCACTTTTGGTGTTATAAAGTCGTGTATTTCTAGTATTAATATGTCCTCTAGACACCAATATATGCTACAGAAATTAAATAATATATCGCATTATTACTTGTGAGATCAGTAATGGAGTAATTCTTGGAAGTCTAATGATATTTTTGACGTTCTGAAATGTAGTCTTTGGTCGTCTACTATTATGTTCATTTCTACAGTTGGTTGAATTAAACTGAATGAAGAATATGAGGTGACATATGCCATTTAGATGCTTATCTGTTTTCTTTTCTCTTCTTTTCAAAACATCACAGTTAATAGATATACAGTTATCTATTTGTGACTTAATAGCTGTAGAAATAAAATACCTATAACCACTAACAAATATTATTATTCTTATTATTCTTGGTAGATTTATAGCTGTATTTAGAAAGGTTGAAACTACAAACAAGTTAAACCGAGGTAACGACACATCGACATCACTAACTACAGAATGCTTATTTGATACACATGATTATCTGCCGTAAGCGGTTTCCTCTTTGTAACTCTTTGTTTAACGTGTATACGACGTATTTTATTAAGCCTTCTTCATCTCCGTGCTTCTTTAGAAACATAGTGTTTCTTCTTGGTTTGTTGAATTTCATGCAAAGCTATTCAAGGGCTATATGGTGTTTTAGAATGTAATAACGTGTTTATATTGCAAATAATTAGCTATCTAATAATATATGTTTCTTCTTCATTACAGTAAGTACACGTTTAATCACTAAAACGTTTTATTTGTAACTTTCATGTTGTTTATATTTCAATAGTGAAAATTATACCTGTATCATTTTCAGAACAATAAATATTTGAATACGACGATATATATCAATAAGTTTGTTTGTTATGGATTTCGCGCAAAGCTACACAAGGACTATCTGCGCTAGCCGTCCCTAATTTAGTAGTGTAAGACTAGAGGGAAGGTAGCTAGTCATCACCACCCACCGCCAACTCTTGGGCTACTCTTTTACCAACGAATAGTGGGATTGACCGTCACATTATAACGCCCCCACGGCTGAAAGGGCGAGCATGTTTGGTGTGATGGGATTCATTAAAAGTTAAAAATTTATATATAAGAGAATACATGAGGCAATTATATTCCTATCATTTTAGAATGTTTGCGATAAGCTGAAAAGCAGTAGTGTTGATACAGATGAAAAGAAATATAATTTCAAGCAATAAATCTATAAAAAATAGTGGTGTTATTCATGCATGAAATATATATCCGATAATTTCTAAAACGGTAATTTGCAAAGTAACAGAAATAAAACCAATTAAGCTCTTACATTAAAAGGGTCAAATATGTGAAACTGAAAATATGTTATATGCTGTAGTTAACACTAGAAGGAATGTTGAACTTTTACTTCTGCAAAACTTATGCACAATGATCAGCCTCTTATCGGACAAAGTTACATTCAAGTTACACCAGTCCATTGGTCTGAGACACCCTAGTCTTATTCTCACTAATTCATCCTCAGCTATGGCCATTATACGTATGTGTGTATCACCCATTATATATTGGAATGATAATTCCAAAATATTCCGCTAACTTTAGTATAGATAAATGAAAGTCAACAATTTTTTATAGCAAAGCCACATTGGGCTATCTGCTGTGTCCATCGCGGGGAATCGAACCCCTGATTGTAGAGTTGTATGTCCGTAAGCGTACTGCTGTCCCAACTGAGGTTTTATTTGTTTTTTTAATTTCGCTAGCCGTCCCTAATTTAGCAGTGATAGACTAGAAGGAAAACAACTAGTCAACACCACCAACCACCAACTCTTGGGCTACTCTTTTTACCAACGAATAGTGGGATTGACCGTAACTTATAACTCCCCCATGGCTGAAAGGGCGGGCTTGGTCAGTGATTGGAATTCGAACTCGCAACCCTCAGATTCCGAGTCGAGCGTCCTAACCACTAAACCATGCCAAGCCCTCACCGGGGGACCAGAGTCAACAGAAATCCTGGTTCCACATAGCATTGAACTGTAAGGTTCATAGACTGGTTTATTCAACATTTTGTTATTATTATATGTTTTGCACTTCCTTATGCTTTGTCCTCATTTATCTAAATGCTGTGATTTTATTTGTTGTATAAATATATATATTTAGTATTATTACTAGCTTCAGTAAATACCAAACTATTAGGTTAGATACGTATTGTCGGATTTAAGATATATTTCACCGTCAGCTGACATTTGTTTAAAACTTAAGGTAAGAACTAAGAGTTGCAAAGTTTAATATTTTTATCTTGTATACGTACACTTTGAACAGCAGATGAACCCCTCTGACAACTTCTGGTACCGATTCCTTAGGCAATGTTTGTGAAGTTCCTTGCTTGACAAAAAAGATCTGATAGTAAAGGTTAAAAGTCCTTACGCATTAAGAGCTACAGACTATATTAATCTCTGAGCGTTGATTAAGGTTACTTAAGTTACGTTTTATGATGCAGAACAACATTTTAGATGTTACTGGTGAAACTACAAAGACGTCTTACCTGTATTCCTTGTCACAGTCCAGAAAATGACCCAATATTTAAAACACATTTTCTTCCATTGTGGTTAAAAACTCAGAAACATTTCTAACTGAACACTTTTCATCCGCGCCTGGTTCACAGATTTACAACTTTAACTAAAGGAGATCGGATTTTGAAGTGAACATTTTACTACTGCGCATACTAAAATATGAGAAACGCTTTGGTAAACAAGCATCAGATTTTAATATATAAAATACTATGTAGCCTCACAACATATATACTGGTAAATTTAGTATATAAAATAATGTATAGTCTCACAACGTATATATATATATATTGGTAAATATAGTAGTACATAGAACAATGTGTAGCCTGACAACATATATATATATATTGGTATATATGGTAGTACATAGAATAATGTGTAGCCTCACAACATATATATATATATATATATATAGGTAAGAGAGGAAATCATTTTGATTCGTCGCGTATATAATTCATATTATTCTTAGCATAACTCTGCGAAATGTTAACTTAGAAAAATATTTCGAATTTATGCGATTAAATACGTGTTAATAAAGTATAATCTTGAAAACATACGAGGTTACATTTCTTGCTTCCTATTAAATAAAATAAGGTTTTAATTTTATGTGTATAGTTGTCGTTGCTTCTTATATTCAGAAACAATTATCATGAGACTGCAAGTGGCACCTTAGACAAGGCTTAGGTTTGTCCAGTAGACTTTTTTAACTTTCTTTTCTCGTGAGAAAAAGAAAGATGATGAAGTTTCAACTACATTTCTGTTCGTATGATTGTCCAATTTTTCCTTATCTGTGCCGTATGCCTTATCTAAATGAATAGACATGACGAACTAGTTGATTTCTTAGATGTCATGAGGACCTTACCAGCTTTCCTGTCACTTTTCTTTAATTATCATGTACATGAGTACTTTCCTCATAAAACAAGGATACGTATTTATAAAATCAAAAAAGCTTAAGTAACGCCACAGAATTTTTTATTTACAGTGTTTTGGCTTACAATACTTTTTCGGCAGAACATAAGCAAATAATAACACAAAGTAACTTCTAGGTTAGGTATTAGTCTGTGTAACGTATTTTTAAATGTAATTTTCAAAATAAAAATCATGTAATGCAGCTGATACTAGCAACAATAAAATGTTTCAAAACTTATGTTAATTAATACGTTTCTAATATATCAGCTTTGAATCAAAGCTGATCAAAATGAGCGTATCACTTGTTGAAGTATATTACCCTACCTTGCAATTTCATTAAGCTATAAACTTTGCATTCTCTAGCCCTTACCCTGATGTGAATGGTCATAATATTTCCTTGCTACAAAGCTCACATATATACAACTATCAGGGGTCCTCACTTCGTGTTATACATTAGT